ATGCTGACTCTGTAAACCGCTTAGAGAGGGCTGAAAGCCCTATGAAGCAGTATATAAGTCTAACTGCTATTGCTATTGCGAAAGCCAGCCACTGTTGGACTTTGAAGACCAGATAAATGGTCCTATTCTGGTCATATAGGGAAGACGCTGAGCTTGTCAATCATAAAGGTCAGCAATTCGGCCGTTCTAATCCCCAGCGCCGCGCAACGGAGTGAGCTCCAGTGACTCGTCCCAGCTTCTGCCAACCTAGCAGTTCGAAAGCATGTCAAAAATGCATGTAGAAAACTAGGAACCACCTTTGGTGGGACAGGAACCGCGTTCCATGTACCTTTGGCATTGAGTCATGCCGGCCACATGACCACAGAGGCATCTTCGGACAGTGGTGGCTCTTCAGCTTTGAAGTGGAGATGAGATACAAGGGGAAATGATCGATGCAAACTCAAAGTAAACCGCTCTAAATTCGATTGCGGAAAATACGACTTCATCAACAGAGTGGTCAATGCCTGGAATGCTCTACCTGACTCCGTTGTTACATCCTCAAACCCCCACAATCTCAAACTGTCTACTGTGGACCTCACCCCATTCCTAAGAGGTCTGTAAGGGGGCATAAACGCACCTGGGGGGTCTACCGTCCCTGTCCTACTGTCCCCATTTATTCATACCCATTTCTTTCATTCATGTCCATGTTTATGTTGATACCTGCTATCTCGTACATGTTTGACAAACTAATAAATACAAAGTCTCTATTTCTCTCCCCCCCCAAACTATCCTTATGGAACACCTTGCCCCAGAGGTCCAATTACCCCACCACCAGCACCCAACTTGCTGATTTTTGCTAAAAACTGCCAACTTCTGCCAAGCTTTTCAAAGTTAAGGGGCTGCTGGGAATGCTTCCTATTGGATTTTGGTGCCTGGCTTTATATTAGTTATTGGAGAGTACAGTCATTTTTAATTAGTAGAGTCTGAATTTTTCAGGAGGTTGAGTTCTCTCTTCCTTGCCAGTTTTCTTACACTAACGATCACCCAGAGCCTTGGCACTAGTGGGATGGACATTTGGGGAATAGATAAATGAATAAATCGATGCCTTTTCCCTTTTTCCTTCTTGATCTAATTGTCAGGCCTGCTATTATATTCCTTTTAGAATTTTGGCCTGCCACACTTTCTCTTATTTCATTATGTTGTTTTCATTAGTATAGTTGATAGGAGGGGGGAATGGACAGAAGTGTTCTAAATTGCTTCTCTCCTTGATTAGTTTCCCCCCATTGCTTGTTGTCCTACCCTCAGGTGCTTNCTTTCTCTTCCTCTCCTTTCCATCCTCCTCTCCTTCCCCTTCCTTCTTCCCTTACCTGTCCCCTACTCCTCCTCTTCCTCTTCCCCTTCCTACCTTCTCTTTCTCTTCCTCTCCTTTCCATCCTCCTCTCCTTCCCCTTCCTTCTTCCCTTACCTGTCCCCTACTCCTCCTCTTCCTCTTCCCCTTCCTACCTTCTCCTTCTCTTTCTCTCCCTTCCATCCTCCTTTCCTTACGTCTTCCTTCCTTCCCTCCTCTTCCTCTCCTTCTCTCCTCCTCTCTCCCTTTCTTTTTCTGTTCTTATAGGTGTCTCTTTCAAATCTCACTTTATGTTTTCTTGGGATCTTCACTTTTTAAAGCATTTTTCCCCCTATTCGTCTGAAGCGGCAGGGGGGAAAAGGGCTTTAAAAAGTGGGGGAAAAGCTTCCAAGGATCGCACAGCTCACAGCTGAGCCACACAATCCTCAGAATTTATTTATTTTTTACTACCAGTTCGCAGAACCAACAACAATTGTCCCTACCAGTTTGGCCGAACCAGGCTGAACCGGGAGGATTTTACCCCTGGGTCATGTCCAACTCCTGCATGATTTCGTTCCTGAAAACCTTGAGATTTGTAGCTTGACCACTCAAATTTGCCAGGCTTTAAAACTGTTCCTCAAAATATCCTGTTCAATGAGAACCGGGTGAGTGTAAAACAGTAGTAAAACCCAGAAGGAGCATGGGAAAACCTTTTTGGATTTAAAAAACAAAACCTGTAATATTTCATCGGATAAATGGAGTGCTTAAAGCGTTGACTCTCAATCTTGGTAACTGTGTGGACTTCAAACCCCAGAATTCCCCAGCTAGGACATACCAGGGAGTCCTCGGTTTACAAGAATTCACATTAGTGACCATCTGAAGTTACAACGGCACCGAAAAGAGCGACTTACGACGGTTGCGGTTTCCCCAACGTCGTGCGATGTACATTTGGGGGCTTGCCAAACTGACTCACATTTATGACGGTCGCTGTGCCCTGGGGTCAGGTGATCCCTCCTCCTGACAAGCCAAGCCCATGGGAAGCCAGATTCACTTAACAACCGGGTTACTCACTTAACAACGGCAGTGGTTCACTTCACCAGCGCAGCGCGAAAAAAATCGTAAAACGGGGCAAAACTCACTTAATACATGTCTCTCACTTAGCAACATACATTTTGGGCTCAGTTGTGGTCGTAAATTGAGGACTTAGCTGTATAGCAAGCAACGCACGTCAACTTTTAATCTGTATTTCTCTGCCTTTCTCTCTGCTTTCTGGAAAAAGTTAGCCGAGGCATTAAAAGTTGGGCTCGTCCGGGATTTGAACCCGGGACCTCTCGCACCCTAAGCGAGAATCATACCCCTAGACCAACGAGCCAGCTGTTTCGGATGTTTTGCAGCTGTTTCTTTTGGGAAGACTGCTAATTAGAGGCTCAAATTTCGTTTGTGACTCCTGCCAACTGGGAGAACAAGTTATTATCCTTGTGTTTTTTTGCTCGCACAAAATATTCTCATTTTCCCGGAGGCCCTTGAGAAGAAATAGCGACAGAAAAAATTTGCTAAATGTAAACGACCCTCAGCTCCAGTGACTCTGGGAGTCGGGGATTATGGGGGCGGGAGTCCTCCGAAAGTGCATTCAGAACGTGGCACTGCAGTCTTCCAAACATTTTTATAATGAGCGTTGTTAAAACTGAAGCCAAACAATGAATAGAAGGGGGAAAATGCACGAGCAGTCCTCGTTTAGTGACCACAATTGGAACAGGCAACTTGGTTGTTAAGTGAAGCGGCTACTAAGTGAAACCTTGGCCCAAAGAGGATGAGAGACCCTGAGAAATCAGCCCCGTTCCCTTTCTACGTGCCTCAAATTCAGTTGCAGAAACATCCCAAACTAACCTACTTATTTGCACAAATGGTGACTCGGATGTTAAATGAAACAGGCACTAAGTGAGACCGCAACCGGGCTTGCTTTCGGATTTCAGCTTTTCCTTTGCTTTACGGACGTATGAAGGTCGTAAGTGAGAGGACCGGTTGCCAAGTGACTTTTTCATCACCGCTGTAAACTAGAAATG